AAAAGGTAACTGGCCTAGCAAGGGTGGGCCATGCGGAAGTTTAGAGACCTAAAGCCTCCAGGAATTGGGTGATCTTTGATCAAATACAGACCAGGATAGGTAAACAGAATACTACAAGAGGTTCCCACTAGAAGGTTTATCCTAGTTGAGGTGTTCAGGATATATGTTTAGCAGAAAGAGGCTGAATATGGGCCTCTCATTCCCTATGGTTAATTCTGGTTCTGGACAATCTTACAGTCCAGTTTGTGCATCTTGGTTTAGGACTAAGGCGAAGCTACATTGTGCACAGGCAGAGTGTACATGGCATATATGAGTCTGTCAACTCTCCACCCCGTAAGGAATCAGAACTGAGCCCAGAAAATGACTAGTATTATTATCTGCACCCTTCTCAGAAGCCTGGGCATTCTTGTAAGTGGTGTGTGGAACTGTGACCACAATACTGGATGGCAATCACGCAGATAGGAAAGAAAAACTGGGGAATGATTCCAGCTGGAGTAGGTGTGCAAACTAGCAAATTCCCTCCCTACAATCTAGCATCCAGGAGACAGTCAGATGCACCAGTTATTATATAGAAAGGCAGCCAGATGCAATGTTTATTGTAGAAGAAAGAGCCTATAAGTGAATTTGAAGGCTGCAATAGACAATCTGGAGCTGGAGATTTCGGCGTATTAACAAAGCAAAAAGTTGTATGGACTAAGAGGCAACTAAATTTTCATGCAATTGCAACAAGCCAGTACCGGTGGGTGATAATGGGGATGGGGCTGAACACAACCCTCTTTAAATAGGTAATAAAGAGTAAGAAAGGCACAATGACCTATCCTGCAGAAGTTACTTCCTGATAGCTCCCAGATGAATGAAGTTAATAAAGTTTTAGGCTAATTAAACCACATCCCCTGTGCTTTGTCATTCTTTCTGCATGTCCAGCACAATGAATAATTTAAAATGAGAATGCAAAACAGAGCTGTTTAACTAACCTTTCAATCCTTTCCTAAATTAGTAGCACCAACAGCTTTTTTATTTGTCTTTATTTCCCTTCCAGCATTGTTTTAAAACGTATTTGTTCTTTCCAGGTAGGTTTGCGGTTGACAGCCAGATGGGACTGCCATTTCAGCTAATACAGTATTAGTATCTTTTCCTAGCAGTCCATCTTTTGGTATGATGATCGCCAGGGACCTTATTTGAATGAATGCTGTTCCACTATATAAATCAAGCTATATTTATGCACGCTGTTTTTGTATCTTGTTTAGAATTCCCACCACTCATTTTATGTGCTTCTCTTTCTAAGGGAACAAATAGATGGACTAAATGAACATAAGAGTCGTCTATCTTACTGAGAATGCAGTTTAAAGATGTAGATATTTAAGCAGATTTAATGTCCAGGAGGAAGGACTGTAAATAGAAATCACATTTTTATCTCCAGAACATGTACAGTGCAGATAACAGCAGTGAAAACTTCATGTCTGCAGAGAGCTGAGACAGAAAGTTTAGTGTCTATGAAGTTGTTTTTAACCTGTGGCCCAGAGGCCTCTAACAGACCGTGAACAATTTTTAATGAGTCCATGAAGGGTAAGCAAAGAAGAGAAAATTCTTCTTCTCAGAAGGCTTCAATTTCGTCCACAGATCTGTGCTTTTACTGGAAAATGCTCATGGTTCTGCAAATCCAAAAAAATAAAAAAGATATGCTGTATGTCAATTTAGTCTGTGAGCTGGCTACCAGGACGATCAAGAAAGGTTATGCTGGTGCATGATTTTGAAGCATGGGCACATCATCTTGGAAAAATACTGAGCCCGCTTATCTATTTCACCTGTAGCACAAAATTACTGTTGGGTCAAAATAATCATTCTCATTGTTATCAGTCCTTATCAAAATTAATGAATTT